TTGTAGATCACACAGTGGTCATTAAAATTAAAGGATAACGACAGATATAAAAAGTAACTGATACTAACGAATCAGATAATGAAAAATTATTAATAGAAGTTTATACAAAACTATTAGTTAACATACATTATAATGTTTGACAAATGATAATACTCAAAATATTGAAATTAAAACCAAATTTAAGGAAACTGCAAAATGATGGAAAATTAAGTCACCTCTTGTAGAAAACATATTTCTTTAATATGGCATATGGACGCTTGAAGAGATATGCATGGCTCAAATCTTGATTTCACAGACTATACCAAAGTGTTGATCAAGCCCTAAAGAATTGCAGGCCACTCTTTTAAAAGTGCACTTTTCAGTGCCAGGAGAGTTCATAAATTAATTTGGCATTGTAATAATTTGGTGCACTAAGACATCCTATATATGCTCAATCAAGTTCAAGATGGGAGAGTAAGGAGGGCCAATCCATTTGAGTGATATCTTCTGTTTGCAAGTATTCTAACACCAGATATGCTTGATAAAGATGAGCACTGTCAAAAACTATGGGCCAAGAGCACCCGTAAACAGATTTAACTTCGGGTTCCAGTACATAGGTTACATATCTCCGAGTGGTTATAGAACCTCCTTCAAAGATAGGCAGCTCAGTGTAGCCATTTATAATCAATTCCTCTCCAAACCATTAAATTGTGGTCATGGAAATGAGATATTTCATAGATAAGGGAAGGCTAGCTGCATGTTCCTTCCTCTCTCCAGATCAAAACCAATTTAAAATCACTTTTCAGACTATATCTGGTCTTGTCAATAAATAATACTCGTTCCTACTCATCTTGGCTACAGTGAACATGGTGACGGCAGCAGTTTAAATGGGCCCCTCTGGTAGCTGGATTGATTGGGACACAAACCATCGATTTTCTTGCATACAGGCCAACCTCCTTAAGCTCCTGTGGCACCTGAAGGTCTAAAACAAAATCTCTTGTAGTTGCATCATAGTTTCTTCAAGCTGACTACAAAAGAAAATGTTCTTCTGATGCAGTTGTTGCTCTTGGTTGCCCTTGACCAGGTTGTTGATCAACTGAGCCAGTACTTAAAAAGTGGTTTCAAACTCTTGATATGACACTTTGAGGGATATTCAAATCTTGGAAGACCTCCATTTGTGTTTGACCTCTCTCGATTCTACCAATTATTCACCACTTCTAACCTTCACACAAATGATGCCTTTGATCCATAACTACTGAATACTGATCACTCTCAGAAACCACATTCACTTTAAGCAACACTACAGACCCAAATTCCAGCATGTGCCCACGGCATACCACACTGTCAATCACTGAATACTACCGGTGCTAACGTATGTGAAGAAGTACAATTTTGTGTTCAACTGTATTTAGTTAACATAAATAAATACAGCATTGGACATTGATGCAAGATGCTCCCAATAGTAAAAATACATAATTAGAGTAAATATCAATACCAATAAATTTTTAAATAATATTATTACTGTAACAGTTTGAGGAAATAGCAAAATTTAAACAATAAATCGCAAAAATGGTCTACAGTGCCCCCACCATGAAAAATGTATGAAATGCAATTATTTAACTCAACTTAACTTCTATAAATCATATTTCAACATAATGTATATTTCATAATAAAAAATTCATGTAGGCATCAGGGGAAACCGACGTACACGTAAGCAGTTCTAAGATAAATAATTCTGAAAATTTCTTTATAAAGACTGATAACCTGCAGAAAAATATTTAAGTGAAAATATTTCTCAGAATGAACAAGTTCCAGTCTCAATACTATTACTCATTTACAACATTATCAAACTCATCAATGTCTATTAATCTGCTTACAAAATGTTTGCGGCTAATGAAATCTGATTGAAGAAATATTTTAAAATTCAGTTGAACTCTGCATTTTGCAACTTCACAAGTAAACAATTTCATCCTATCCTCAAGGATGCCCTCAGCACCCAATGCTGCTTCATTCTTCAAAATATTTTGAGCCTTTGAATCATGATTATGGAAACCTGTTTTCTTATGGACACACTTTTCAATTTCAAATCACCTTAAATATTCAACTGGATCTTCAGAAATGATATCAGTGTTTAATTTTCCTTCAATTTCTGTAAAACCCTGAGATTTTGAATCCTAGTCCTTGGAAATCACTTTACTTAAGGAATCTTTGATCAGCTCATAAAGTATTTAGTCCCATTTGATTTCTATGAACCCTCTTTATGTCTAACCTCCTTTGAGGTCCAAAGCTGCAATAAAAATGGTAATATATAATTCCTTTTTGGGTTCAAAAATGCTTAAAGTATTTGACAAAATATGATCTTTCGGAATAACCTCAGTGCTGAACACTGCCTTAATTTTTCAAATAACTGAAGTCTGAGAATTTTAAATTTAGGAAAACTATTTCATTTTTATGAAAAGTATAAAATAAATTCCATTTTCTCTTTGCAAGCAATTCTGGTTTTAAATTCTGTTTCATTTCCAAGAAAAAGCTCATTACTCAACAATATATGATTTCAATCTATTACATCTTTGTTAGATTGCAACTTTCTGTTAGACTTTTAAGTTTAACCCATATCATCATTTAAAATTCAGCTCACTACACTTGCATGATTAAGTAGAGTATTTAGCTGGTGAGTTGATACAGAACTGGACTTGATGCTACCTTAACATTCCATCAAAAATTAATATGATTTAAATTAATAGAATGACTTCTGCATTATGCATAATTTCACAGCAGTCTGTATGAAGCTAAATTTCTTACTTTATCTTATTTCATTTTCCTTTGCTTGCCTTAATATTAGACGATTCTCAGTGGCTTTTCTGGACAATGTCTACATTTCTATGGCACTTATAAGCTTTAGAGTCTGTCATTTCAGTATGCATGGTTCAAAATTTTAAATAGCATTCATTATCTTCTTACAGAGCATATCTGACAGACTTTGAGTTTTTTGATATCCTGGGCATCAAAGATTTAATAATTTTTGGAATTTTTAAGTTCTTTGATTCAAACTGCCCTCATTTCCCTAGCTTCTTTACCATTCCCCTTTTATTATTATAAACTAAAAATATTCCTTATCCACATGGCTCTGTTTTCAGTCATAGCTTTTGTCCATAAAAGCTTTAAATTCATTGTAACTTCCGTTCACAAGATTTACAAGATCACACAAATCAGTTTTTCCCTTTACCCCCAAATCACATTTCTGTAACTTTAAAATTTCATATCACTAGCTTATATTACAAGAACTATAATCATACCAATGTTGCTTCTAACAGTAATAAAACTCAGAATGCAGTAATTTTATAACTATCACACAAAGTTCAACTGATTCTGGATAGAATAAATAATAATAATACACAAATCCTACTGGCAGTCTTGACCTTAAGAGCATTAAAATTTAATACACATTAATTCTATAGTAGGAAGTACTGCTTTTGTACTTACTTATTAGCACTATAACACATCTAAAATCATGACAATGTTTAAATGTTAAAATTAATTTGTACTACACTAGTAGCAAAAGTTACAAATCTTATTCTTAAAAAAAATTTTGCAGTCAAATAACTTCACAAGAAATAATAATGGACCACTGTCTTTAGTATCAACATTTAGTAAACATCAGTATCAAAGCTGTAATAATAATCTCGTTACTTATAAAACTTCGATCATTATCACTATGAATATTAATCATTACAGAATAAAAGTGCAACAGTATCAAATATGGTTCCTATTCCCCTTTGGTCATTTAAGCCATCAAATTAATTACACTTCAGTCTGATGTACTAATTTACTTTCTCTTTCAACTATGCACTGTATTTACAGATTTACCTTTGGCAATACCAGGTGCATTTAAAGAGGTCCTTAGGTATGCTGAGTTCCTTAACAAAAACAATTTCTATTAATGATTTTTTTTTTTTTTTTTTTTTTTTTTTTTTTTTTTTTGGGTAAGCATTACCTTTTAATGCCTTAATGCTACTTTTTCTTAATGTCCATGGTAGCAGCTTTTTCTAAAGATAATTTTTGTAATTTTAGTAAAAACCTGCATAATAAAACATAAAATACCTAAGTCAATTTTTCTTCACAAATTCAAATACTTAAATCAATTTTTCTCCAAATAAGGGGGAGAGGAATTAAAGTCTTTAAAATTTGCATGCTTACAATTCCAAACCTTTTTTTTTTTTTTAAATGATCTGTTTTTCAACATATCGTTAGATAAAATGAAAAACTGAACAGTCTGTATGCACAATTCTAAGAAAGTCCAAGTAAAACAAATACTTTGAAAAAGAGAAATATATTTCCTGAAAACAGGTAAAGAAGTTTGGGAAAATGAATGGTTTTGCTATAAAAGAAAATACTAATAATATAAAAAAATGCAAGCTCAAAATAATAAACTGGGTCACAGTATGGCTGTTATATAAACCGGAGAGAAAGAATAAAATTATCATCAGAAACACTGACTAATATGAAACATATTTATAAAGAAGACGCAAGATTAAAAAACTAACATTTAGCACATGTTTTATTAATTTATGTAATGTATTATGTATTTAAAAATATAATAACAACAATAATAATAATAAAACAAGAATTTGCATACATTTAAAAGAAAACTGCCAACCAATTTACAGAAGTTAGTATGCTAACTTTTGTAACAAGCATCATTTCAATAAAGATTAATTAGATATACATGGAGAAAACTTCAAAAAATTTACAGCCAGACGATAAAAAGCATGCTTTGCTCACACAGCCTTTCCCACAGTGTCAGATTAACTATTAATAATTATATTATTACTTAAACATTAAAAATTAACAAAAGCTTTGCATGTTTACAAGTTCAAATGAGACATTTCAATTTAAAACTTTGCACAAATAGTAAAAACTTGAAATGTTAAATACAAATGTTCTTACAGATTCAAAGTGAAACATTTTAAAACTTTGTACAAATAACAAAAATCTGAAATGTTGAATACAAATGTTCTTACCTCTTCATTTAATAAAATTAAGCCTAATAAAGGTCTAGACATCGACCACTGATTTCTACACTCTTCAAATATCACAATATTTAAGTTTGTACTCAGCATCTAGATGAAAAGGAAGAGGGGAAAGAGGGTATTAAATTTGAGAAGTTTGTAAAATAGCAATACACAAAAACTATACACATTCAAAAGAAAACATTCCTGCAAAATTTACTATTTTCCTTTTAAAAAACACAAATTATTCTGTCGAGTGGCAGGTTTTAACTTAGAAATATTTTCAAGAAGTTAATAGATCATGAAGTGTTAGAATTTTTAAAGAGATAATTACCAAGATCTGAAAGTTATTTCAGATTTTTTTATGAAATAAAGCACTAGCAATGCTGATTCATATTGACTCCAGTTAGCAATCTAGACTTGCCACCAATTTCAAGAAACTTCAAATTACACTTGCAGTTATATATATATACTATATGACGCTTTTATGATCAGTTAGTCACAAGAGCATATTACTTTTAAAGCTATAGTTTAAAACATCTGTTACAGGACAGCATATTCATTATAGTTTTGTATTAGTCCTCCTGCTCTTCTTCTATGCCATGCGTGTCAAACTCAAAAACTAAAATGAGCCAAATTAAAAGGATTTAGGAGCCGCCAAAAACAAACTTTAATTTTTACAGAAACATAGGTTTATTTCAACAAATAGTCATAAAAAAGAACCAAAAAAAAAAATTTTTTTTTTATTCTGACCCTTGACATTTCCTCTCTGCTATGATCTTATCTATTTCAGGGAAAACACTGCTCACAGTGATTACTTTCAAAAATCACCCATGGTTAGCATCGTTAATTCTTCATCAAACAGAAGGTATTCCTTTCATAGGAAAAACTTCTTGGACCGATAAGTACTTCCAAACATTGAAATAATTTCAGTTGCAAAACTTCGTGTATTTTTAAGCCTGACAGGTAAATATTTGGAAATTTCAGGTACTCAAAAAACCTCAGTGAATATTTACTTCAAATTTGAGTCGCACTGAATCCAAATTACCTCCATTTGCATATGATTAGGTACTGACTCTACATTTATTGAGAAAGTAGGACAAACAAATTTGTCTTCCAAAGATTTAATATCTGCAAATCTTGCCTCAAATACATCTTTAAAACTTAGAATACTTTCAGCGTATTTTTTACATGATACAGTTCCACCTAAACTTGATTTGTTCATATTGCATGTAGGGAAGTGAGTCAAATACTCATTTTTTAATTGATTTTCCCAATGAACTAGCTTATATTTGAATGCTTTAACTCATTCACACGTGTTCGTAATGATGCGATCTTTTCCTAGCAGTGATAAATTCAAAACGTTTTTCAGTGTTTTGTGACAGCAACCATGAAAAATAAATTTCGCAGTCATGTTGAATTAGAAAACCAATGTATGTCTTGATTTTTAGTGATTAAAAACTCATATTTATTCCTTTAAATCCCAGACTTGTTTGAGAATTTTAGAGCAGGATAATCAATGTGCCTCAGTACAGTAGAACACCAGATTATTTGCATTCTAATTCATGTAAGAAAGCAGAGAATTGTTAATGATTTTAAGATCTTATAAATCTTACAAAATTGATAACTTTTTTTTATGTTTGATAACACATTTTCCATGTTCACAATTTTACTATAAAGTATTTCTTGATATATAATATAATGCATGTGATGAACGTGAGATCCATCATAAAGTTCACTTTGCTTTCTTTTGCACTGATGCCACAAAACCTTTGTTTCCTCTGATCACAGAAGGAACACTGTCTGTAGCAATAGAAGTTAATTTTGACAGAGGTAAATTATAGTTTTGTGAAATTTTATAAACACAAACAAATATATCATGTCCTGTAGTAGTACTATACATTGGTACCACTTCCAATAATTCCTCAAAAATGCTGAAATTTGGGTAACAAACACGAAGAAACACAGCTAATTGAGCTACAATCCCAATGTCCATACTCTCATCACATGCAATAAAAAATCCTTCAAAACTGGGTGATTTTTGCTTTGATCTGATCGCTTAATCTGACAGCCACGTGAGTAATTCTTTCTGCAACTGTATTTCAAAACAAAAGAAATTTCTTGAAAAAACTTCATATTTCCCTGATTAAAAATTTCTGCAGCTTTAGTTAAACATTCCTTGATGAAATCACCTTTAATGAAAGGTTCTGAATATTTAGCAATCAACTCTGAGAAGACATAACTTGCATGCACCGATACTACATTTCGTTTGATACTTTACTAAACACCAGCTGTTGTTTCTTCAGTTCCAGTTTCAGATGCTTTAAATTTATTACATATCAAACAGATTCTTTTACCTTTTCTTTCTCAGGAAAAATATTTCAATTCCCACTTTTCTTGAAACTTTCGATGTTCATCAGGAACTTTCCGTTTAGTTTTACTACAACTCGGCTTTGATAAAGACATAATAAAAAAATATCCAAAATACTAATATTAAAACTAATATATACTAAATATCAAAAACTTAATATCAACTGTTTGCACTTTCTCCTTAGGACAGAATTGCAACTGAAACTTTACTATGAAAGGGAGCAAGTTGGGCAGCACTATTGGCCATTTCACAGCCTTGCTCAATATAAAATAATATATATAAAAAAACATTTACTCCTTATTATGTTTCAGCTGAATTATCCAACCAATAAAAATGTGAGAAATACCAATGCTTGGGTAGAGAATTATTAAACTTAGAAATGGGAAAAGTACTGATAAAAAGAAAGATCTTAATTTATGAGAATGTATCAGCTATAAACCTACAAGATCTTTCAGTCTTGAACACACAACTTTTCTCAGAATATTCCACAGGAATCTACTGATCAAGAAATACATAAAAATAAAAGAATTTGCTGTTAACCTTGTATAGAATTTTTTTTAAAAAAATAAAATATGGGGAATAAAAATCTTCAAAACAGCACTACATCACTAAATAGCCTTAGATTTGTATATTTTTACATTGATTTTGCACTCAAAATTTTTTAACATTACATACTTATAAGTGAGAAAAGCCATTTGAAACTATTTTGTCTATGATTTTAATGCATTGTTTGTGTTTGTCTATTAAAGGATTAAATTTTCATCAGTCCTACTTAAATTTTACATTTTAAGTTATTGTGTATTAACAGCCAAAATATATATCTTTCACTAGTTATCGCTTCTTTCATTATTTTACATTTTTGTTGCATGAATCAAAATCAACTCGGCAACTTTCCAGGCTTCCAAAAGTGAATTCTGAAAACATTGGAAGTTGCCAAATAGTGCTGTTTCACTAAATTTTGCTACCTTCTACAATTATGCATTTCTAGATATTAGGTGTCCTAAAACAGGCCGATGGTTTTTCAAAAATTTATAACAGGAAAATGATTAAGGTTAAAAAAAAATTCTTGCAGCATTTTTTTTTTTTTCCTCCTGGAGTTCCTGGTTTCGGTTCCAAGATTTTCCAACAGACGACACTATAAGTCCCTTCTACCGTTCTATCCAGTTTTGAAGTATGCAAATTATCAAATTATGCATCTGAAGAAGGGGTTGATGTTTTGACTTGAAAGGAGTGTTATCTATACTGGATGAGCAGCAGAGAGCAAACAGAAGTTCTGTAGGAAAGTGTTGAAAAAAAATGTATTGGTTGGAGGAAAGGTTCTCCTTATAATGAAATTCTACTAAATGGGCAAGAGTATCACAACAACAAAAACCCTTCAGTGCAAATTCCAAGTCATTAATGATCCACAACTGAATATAATAAAACATCATATGAGAAATTCAAACGAACAGGTAGTGTTGTGGATGGGAAAGTCGAAAATGTTGGATGACAACAGAAGCAAATTTCCAAGTCATTTAGGAAACATTTGGTCACTCCCCTGGAAAATCAGTCCAAAAAACTGCAGCCATATGTCCAATGAGCAAAACTGTGTTGCATAAGTGTCTAATCTTGTTACCATACAGAATTCAAATATAGCAACTGCTTCAGGCTATATCTGTAGAGAAAAGGAACATGCTTGGCGGTGGCAATATTCATGTAAACTCCGGTCCAGCAAGAAAAATTATGTTAAATTCAGTCATGTCTATCTACAAGCACCCCCCCTCATTATTCATCATTCAAACTACGCCACAAAACAACTATCCAAAATCTGTTAATCAAGATAATTATTACATTTATTTATTGTTTATTGCAGTTTAGCTAGCAGGATGATTTTCCTGTGTTCTGAAACCCCAGTGAAAAAATTGTTGTGCCAGCTCTTCTAACCCTCAAGATATTTATACCAAGGGTAAGTCTAACAGCTATTATAAAAACAACGTAAAATTTAAAATCATGGTGATAATAACTTACTAAAACAACAGAATAACCAAATCAGATTGATGAGTTTTGTACCTCAGCATGCTTAGATGCACTACAAACTATAAGAAAGCATGTAATCGCATATGCAGTGGACCACATTATATTCTTGCAGTACAATACAGATTTTGTCACAACTCTACGAAAATACATGCACTGCTTCCATTTTCTTTAAATAAGGCAGATGAAGGAAGGCAGATGAAGTACAGTATGATGCATCTTCTCTTTGCTAGCAACAGTGCAAATAACACTTGTTGAATGTTCATCTGTTAAGTAGCAATTGCATTCTTACCAGTATATAAGTACCAACCTTAAAACGTGAAAAACCAGGAGTTTCAAGAAGGTTTTTTTGCACTGAATAGCAACATCATTTCAAAAGAACTCCAAAATGATTTCAATTCAATTTATAATGCCCAATACATGTTACTGAATTATTTCTGATGTAAACTAAATTTCAAATTAATTAAATAAATAATTTAAATTTTATGCTCTTTGGCTAATTTCATTTAAAATTTTTATTACACTTTTATAACCAAGGAAAGACCCACGAGGGAAATAGAAGCTTTGTACATTTAAGTATTACAAAAATATAATTAATGTATTACTGTATGGATAAACTTTAAAATGTACCATTTATTGATTTAAAACAAATTAAGTACATTTATTATTTAACACTGCTTCAGTTTTCATAAAAAGTACTACAAATCTCTACAACTGATTAAGAGAA